GTAAAAAAAATCAAGAAACAATACTGACTAATAATGTTTGAGACCATTCAGCTTTTGCATGCCCCAATTTTATTCATGTCAAATTAATTGCATCAATTAAAAGTTCAGCACTCGATCCATGCAAATTTTCAAAAAAGTATTTTTTTTTAAATTGTTCCGAATTTTGTTTTTCAAATTTTACAGTGTATTATTTTCCAAACTCAACAATTTGAAGCATTTTGCAACTTTGAACATGTACTATTTTTTACACTTTGTATGGTATACCTTTTGTATTTTTTACTGTTATTTATTATTTTTTTCTTTTGTACTATTTGAAAAATTATATTGTGTTTAAATGTTCTAAATATTAAATACATTAAATTCAGCAGAAATAAAGAAGAAAAAATCGTTTTTTTCGCCTAATTGTTCTCCAGTCCTGACTTTTTCCATTTTCTTTGCAGTTTCTTTGTAATTTTAAGAAATATTTAAAAATTAAATGACGCAGAGGTACAAAAATGACATAACGTAATTTACGATAAAAAAGACTTCCAACTTAAGTTAATAACTCAGGTAAGAAATTTATTATTTACCTTAGGTAAAGCGAATTAAAAAATAAATAGTAGTTGTGAATTACCACATGTTACGTTTAAGGCAGCATGTCCATTAGGTAAAGTTATATTTTTCACCGTTGTATTTCTGGGCAATAAATGTGCTAGTGGTAAAAAAAATGTTAGATAAAACACGGTAGAGAAGATTTTTATTATTTCCGTTGATGCGAGGCTATAAAAATCTCTCTACCTTGTAATGTAATATACTATTTCTTTATTGAAAATTAATTTTGAATAAATTATTCCCCACTAAATGACCCACCCACAATAAGTGCCACTGAATAGTAATCAATAATATAATAAGTAACAATAATAATTTCTCAATAATGGGCGTAAAATATCCTTTTCTTTGCCTATCAAGATCCTCGTTTTTCTTGCTTATTTCCACTTAAACACCTACGGCTGCAATTCACTTACTGCAAACTGCTATCTTATTTAGAAATCTAATACAATAATAGAACATTGTGAAGTAGTTTTAATAATATTGTCGCTTTATCAAAATCATTATTTTTTTTCTTATTAATAACAAAAGTCTGGTAAACCTTGCCAGTGCGAAAATTAGGGAAACTACTGTTTTTTTCATTTAAAATGTCACGTGTTTCGGACACAATTCCTGCAGATGTCATTATGGAGGGCCCCGCGCTGTCCCACACTCCCATAATAGCCAGTTATTATCGTCAGGGCGGTCCATTACAAGACCATCTAATCAAAACACATGACTGATAGACTTAAACCATCTAATCAAGCATTCCCTTTTGTATAATGCGCATTAATAACGTGCCTCTTTTTATGCAAAATCCGCATTAACAAGAGACCACCAACGAGTCCGAAAAACACAACTTCACACATTTCCCTATAATCGATTGAGGGGGAAAAAAGCACGCGAGTTGTTGTAGTTGTTGTTGGCGATGATTAAACATTGTCGTTGGGCCGAGCCGGCCCTGCACTCAGGTGGTCAGGTGTGCCCCGTAATGTGATTCAAATCGAAACACAAATCACCACCGTTTTCAGTGTCAACACGTTCATTTTCTCGGGATGCAGGATTTACATAAAGACAATGTGTAATTGAGGAGAATCAAGGGCGAAACTTTTATTGTCTGGGTTGGCTCAGAGCCACAAATTGTTGAAAAATACATGAGCACGAACGGATTGTGGTGGAGGCCTAATAGTACAAACTCTCACAAAATACAATTTTTTTTTACTTTAATTCACAAAGCCTTGAAAACGTGAAGGAAGCTTAATACCTATTCAAGTTTTTAAAAGCTCTTAAAGTAAATAATGTGTTTAGTTTTGATGATTTTTAATTTTCAAAAATGTCGAAGAAATGCAACGTTGGAAAAACTACATTTTACAATAAACACTTAATGGTAAATACTTACCAGATTATTTTAATATTTTTTAGTGGAATATCAAAAATAAAATAAACTCAATTCGTGAGTACACATTTGTTATTTTTGATGATTTTAATGAAAAATTTGGAAAATTACAATGAAGAAGATAAAAAAGCTTTAATTATTTGAAATTTTTAATTATTTTTCTAATAAAATATCAATAACATATTATAAAAAAATATTAGAAAATAACTTTCAAAATACCGAAATCAAAAGATAGTTAGGAAGACTACAAATAAATCCAGAAATACGACTTATAAAA